GAGAGAGAGAGAGAGAGAGAGAGAGAGAGAGAGAGAGAGAGAGAGAGAGAGAGAGAGAGAGAGAGAGAGAGACGTAACTCTCCGACCTCGCGGCTCACGCCATGCTACTTCCATCGAGAGGATGAGCAACATCAAATGAATCTTCGGGTAGAACATGGAAGTATACACTACCTGGTTGAATATGGCCGACCGCGTCATGCTACTTCCCAACCCCCCCCCCGGCGCGGCACGAAAAAAAACGGTAGCGAAAAAAGAGCCCGTTCATAAAGTCACGCTGACACCAACCGCCCCCCCAAAAAATAGCAGTAAACAGAAAACCCCGCCGGGCCCACGAAGCCGCGCCAACACCTACCCAAAAAAAAAAACGGCCCTTAACAAAAAACCACGCCGGGCCCAGGGTGCACCGGGCCCACGCGGGAAAGGTCTCAGCGGGACGCGTCACGCGAGACCCGCGTTTTGCTTTAGAGTATTAGGGATAGTTTAGTACCCAGTGGAGGTAAGCGGACTCGAACCGCTGACATCTGCCACGGGGTAAGCAACTACCTCAGTAATTCCTCTCTTCGATTCATATTCAATTAGACGCGTGAGTTTGTCTCCTACAACAGACCCCATACTACCACCCATAAAATTGAAAGTCCATTACCCCTAAAGCGACAAGTATCCCATTTAATTTACCAATCCCTGTTTGTACTGCATCAGTGAGACCTGTATATATATATATATATATATATTTTTTTTTTTATTTTTTTTTTTTGAGCCGCAATATTAATCCTCTAGGCTCTAACTACATTGATCGTTTGAGTATCATCTCTCCCCCCCATTAAACTACTGTGTGCGGGGCAGTCTAAACCTACCATGGCCGAATGGCAGTGGCTTGAACGTAGTTATATGTATGATGTGCGGAGCTATGTGTATGATGTTTCAGCCTGCATGTTTTTTGAAGTACAGTGGGCACAGGTACTCGTATACTATTTACCGGTCCTTTTTTTTTTTTTATTTTTTATTATAAAGATACCGCCACTAACCTGGGGTGGTACAAGCACCACCCAGTCCATTTACCGGTCCGTTTATTGTGTGCGTGATGGATGTATTGTATATTGATTGGTATATCAGATTCTCTCCGCTTCCATCCTCACGCGAAAGCTGATTTGTGCTGGATCGGCCTATCAATCTACAAGGTAATTCCCCACTTGTTCGGAAAAATGGGATGGATAGGCATAGCTGACATTTTCACACTTCCTTATCTGGTGAAATTGTATGCTGAATTTTGTGTATGTAGACGCCAAAATAGACATGTTTTGATTGTGTGTACCTTCCGTTCCTGTTGTCATTCCTTGATCACTGTGGATCCAAGTGGTGTTTCCCTTCCTCAGATGAGTTTTTTTTTTTTTTTTTTTTTTTTTTTTTTTTTTTTTTTTTTTTTT